AAAAAAAAAAAAAAAAAGAAAGAAAGAAAGAAAAAGAAAAAAAGTCTAAAATGTGGATATGGTAAATAGTCTGTCAGCAGTTTGAAGCCTGGGAGTCAAAACATGGCTTCATAAGAGGAGGGTTCAGAATTAGAAGTTGGCTCTTTGATTTAAAAGGGAAAAAAGGACTTGAGCATACAATTACACAGACCTGAGGATGGGCACAGTGGCTCATGCCTGTAGTTCCAGCACTTTGGGAGACCAAGGAGAGTGGATCGCTTGATCCCAGGAGTTCAAGACCATCTTAGGCAACATGACAAAACCCCATCACTACAAAAAATACAAACAACCAGGCATGGTAGCATGGGCCTGTGGTCCTAGCTACTCAGGAGGCTGAGATGGGAGAATGGCTGAGCCCAGGAGGTAGAGGCTGAAGTGCACCATGCACACCACTGCACTGCAGCCCGGCTGACAGAGCAAGACCCTGTCTCATAAATAAATAAAAGTAAAAATAAATTTTTTAAAAGCCCATGTATATTCTTCCCCCCTAAAAATGTCAAATAGAACTGATTTGACTTTAAATGCTACAAAATAGGAAAAATAATTAAATCCAATTACTGCTAACATAGTTAACAGACTGGTATTTAGGCGGTATCAAGACATAAATTGAGGAAATATTATAGCCAGGGGATATTAGAACTGCTAACACCCCTGAGTTTCTTCATTAGTTCTGGTCCAAAATGTACCATAAATTAGATTCTGTGTTGATTTTGAATGATAACCTGCTAAACCATAATGCTCCTTCGCTTAGAGTGGAATTTGGAATTGTTAAGGTCATCTCAACTACAGATTTGTTTAGGTTCCTACAAATAGTACTAGAAGAAAACTAGATGAAGCAACTGGGTTTCTCTGTAAGAGAAACAACTGGAAAACCCAGCTTGGACAAAAGTAGCCCCAGAGAGGAAGGAGGGTCTGCAAAACACAGTTGTCATAGTGTGATCAGGACACAGCTATGAGAATGAATGAATTGCCAAAATTCCCCTAGAGAAGACAAACTTATTTTCCTAGGCAATCATTTTCTACATTAGGGTGTACAAAGCTAAGGTCTTTTAGTCCTTGTATCCCTCTACTCAAGACTGGAGGGAGCAGTCAACTGGCCTAGCTGGCATCACTAATCTTCCTCTTGAGGACCAGTCAGTCCCACCTGATTACAACTGATGGGGAAAAAGAAATCCTCAAATGATGACGTTTGGAAGGGGAAATGGATGCTGTACAGAAAACAACAGCATCCTGGAAACCCCCAGCGCTTGGATGGAGGGGCATTTCTGCCTCTTTCCTTTGAGAAATTACATCTGCAAAGACATTGAATGTTCTGTTAGTGGACTAAGAACAATGATATAAGCCACATGATGAATACCACATTTGACCAGAAGTAGAAGATCAAGGACACCCAGTGTGGATCCTAAGTGCAATCCTTTAATGTAATCCTATGGAATAAAGTATGAAAAGCAAAAATGAACTTTCAGAGTTCAAATAACCAAGACAGGAAAATGGAAAACTAAATTCCCATAACAGCAACAACAAAAAAAGCCAGTCATCTCACTTGGAAAACTAATGAGTTATTATCAAAGGCTTATCTTTCATATATGGGAACAAGTTGGTCCATCATAATTGATTAGAAATAAAACAGACACCTGATGAGATTATCCAGTTCCACAGAGTCAGAAAATTTCTGAAAAACAGAGACATGATATGAATTATTTAAGAGTTCTAAAGAGACTCAGACTTTTCAAACCTTTTTATGATATCAGGTGACACATCAATTACTGATTTGGGGATAATTTTATTACAAGATCATGATACTGTAAAACATTCTGTAATGCACCCCAGTTGAAAATGATTGCCAAGGGAAAGAAATTTATTTGTCTTCTTTAAAGAAAGAAAGTTTGGCAATTATTTGAGCCATAACATCGTTGTTTAGGAGAGTACCCTGAGGACTGATCATTAAGCCTTAACACTTGGATAAAAACTACCACTGAGGAGCAGACGTGGCTATAGAAGACTTCAGGACTTCTAAATAAATATTCAACATGTTCCTCATTGGTAAAAATCCTATAGAGGACGCCTCATAAAAAATAGAGCCTTTTAATGCATCTCAAGAGTCTATCCTAATAGGACATTATACTCATAATCTTTTCCTGAAATTAAAGCAGTTTCACTTTTTAAAACATAAAAGAATTTTTTTAATTCAAAATTTTTTTAACAAGAGCTGAGATCTCTGCAAAAAAAAATCATCCTTGTATATTCTGCCCTCCCTAA